CACCACAATTTAATTTTAGAACACTTCATAGCCCCAAAAAGAATTGGTCCATGTTCAACCATCTCAGGAGGTAGCATATGATCAGGAACCGATGGTACTGAAGGAAGAAGTCCAAGCTGCACTGAAGGTGTTGGTGAAAAACAAGGCTCCAGGAATTGATGGAATACCAATTGAGATGTCTCAACAAATGGATGCAGCACTGGAAGTGCTCACTCATCTATGCCAAGATATTTGGAAGACAGCTACACAGCCAACCAAATGGAAGAGATCCATATTTATGCCTATTCCAAAGAAAGGTGATCCAACTGAATGCAGACGTTATTGAACATTGTCGTTAATATCATAGGCAAGTAAAATTTTGCTGAAGATCATTCAAAAGTGGCTGCAGCAGTATATCGACAGGGAACCACCAGAAATTCAAGCTGGATTCAGAAGAGGACGTGGAGCAAGGGATATCATTGCTGATGTCAGATGGATGCTGGCTGAAAGCAGAGAATACCAGAAAGATGTTTACCTGTGTTTTATTGACTATGCAAAGGCATTCAACTGTGTGGATCGTAACAAATTATGGATAACATTGCAAAGAATGGGAATTCCAGAACACTTAATTGTGCCCGTGAGTAACCTGTACATAGACTAAGAGGCAGTCGTTCATCAGAACAAGGGGATACTGCGTGGTTTAAAGTCAGGAGAGGTGTGCGTCAGGGTTGTAACCTTTCACCATACCTGTTTGATCTGTATGCTGAGCAAATAATCCGAGAAGCTGGATTATATGAAAAAGAACGGTGCATCAGGATTGGAGGGAGACTCATTAACAACCTGCGCTATGCTAGTGACACAACCTTGCTTGCTGAAAGTGAAGAGAACTTGAAGCACTTACTGATGAAGATCAAACACTACAGCTTTCAGTATGGATTACACCTCAACATAAAGAAAACAAAAATCCTCACGACTGGACCAATGAGCAACATCATGATAAATGGAGAAAAGATTGAAGTTGTCAAAGATTTCATTTAACTTGGTTCCACAATCAATGTCCATGGAAGCAGTAGTCAAGAAATCAAAAGATGCATTGCATTGGGCAAATCTGCTGCAAAAGACCTGTTTAAAGTGTTAAAAAGCAAAGATATCACCTTGAAGACTAAGGTGCGCCTGACTCAAGCCATGGTGTTTTTAGTTACCTCATATGCATGCGAAAGCTGGATGATGAATAAGGAAGACCAAAGAAGAATTGATGCCTTTGAATTGTGGCGTTGGTGAAGAGTACTGAATACACCATGGACGGCTAACACAACGGACAATTCTGTCTTGGCAGAAGTACAACCATAATGCTCCTTAGAAGCAAGGATGGCAAAACTACGTCGCACTTACTTTGGACATGTTATCAGGAGGGACCAGTCCCTGGAGAAGGACATCATGCTTGGCAAAGTAGAGGGTCAGCAGAAAAGAGGAAGACCCTCAAGGAGATGGATTGACACAGTGGCTGCAACAATGGGCTCAAGCATAACAACAATTATGAAGATGGCACAGGACTGGGTAGTGTTTCATTCTGTTGTACCTAGGGTCACTATGAGTCAGAACCAACTCGACGGCACCTAACAACAACAACATAGATTTGCCTATTCTAGGCATTTCATTTCACTGGAATCATACAATATACAGTCTTTTGTGACTGGCTTCTTTCACTTAGTGAGATGTTTTCAAGGTTCATCCACGTGGTAGCATGCATCAGCAGTACATTCCTTTTTATTCCGTTGTATGGGTATGCCACATTTTATTTATCTATTCGCCAGTTGATAGATGTTTCAGTTGTGAACATTCCTGTACACATTTTTGTGGGAAAGTATATTTTCATTTCATGTGGGTATATACATAGGAGCAGAATTGCTGGGTCATATAATAAATCTACGTTTAAGATTTTGAGGAACTGTCAAACTTTTCCAAAGCGGCTGCCCCATTTTACATTCCACCAGCAGGGTATGGAGTCCCTGGGTGGTGCAAATGGTTAATCGCTCAGCTACTTACTGAAAGGTTCAAAACCACCCAGAGGCACCTCAGGAGAAAGGCCTAGCCATCTACTCCCAAAAGATCATAGCCACTGAAAACCTACTGAGCACAGTTCTACTCTGAAACACAGGGGATCACCGTGAGTCAGAATGGACCAGATGGTAACTGGTTGGTAGTGGTATATATGAGTTCCAGTTCCTCCACATTTCGTCACTACTTGGTATAATCAGTCATTTAGTGTGCAGCCATTCTAATAGGTGTGTCAGGGTGTCTTGTGGTTTTAATTTGCATTTCTCTAATGGTTAATGATAATGAACATGTTTTCACGTGCTTATTTGACCTCTGTATGTCTTCTTTGGTGAAGTTTCTGCTCAAATCTTTTGTCTATTTTTTAAATTGGGTTGTTTGTTTGCTTATGAGTTCTTTATATGTTCTGGATACAAGTCCTTTATCAGATATAGCCTTTCACAGATCTTCTCCCAGTCTGTGCCTCGTCTTTTCATTCTCTTAACAGTGTCATTTTAAGAGCAGTTTTAAATTTTGACGAAGTTGAATTTATTAATTTTTTTAAAATGGATTGTGCTTTTGGTGTTATCTAAGAATTCTTTGCCTAACCCAAAGTCACAAAGATTTTCTCCTACGTTTTCTTGACATTTTATAGTTTAGATTTTATATTTAGGTCTGTGATCCATTTTGAGTTCATTTTTTTATATTGTGCAAGGTATGAATCCAAATGAATTTTTTTTTACATATGGATATCCAACTGTTTCAGTACAGTTACTGAAAAAGTTATCCTTTTCCATTGCATTGCCTTTGTGCCTGCATAAAAAAATCAGTTCTTCATATATATGCAGTTTATTTCTGGGTTCTCTATTCTGTCCTATTGGTCTGCTTGTCTATGTCAAAACCTTTTATAGTGTCCTTTGACACACACAAGTTTTTAATTTTAATGAAGTCCAGTTTATCTGTTTTTTCTTGTGTTGCCTATGATTTTTGTGTCATATTTAAGAAACCATCTCCAAATTCTAAATCATAATAATATGCCTCTATGTGAGTTTGGCTATTAACCCAAAGGTTGGCACTTCAAATCCTCCAGCCGCTCCTTGGAAACCCTATAGGGCAGTTCTACTCTGTCCTATAGGGTCTCTATGAGTCAGAATCAACTTGATGACAACAGGTTTTGGTTTTTTATGTTTTCTCCTAAGAGTGGTTTTTTTTTTTGTTTGTTTGTTTTTTGTTTTTATCTCTTAAATTTAGGTCTTTGATCCATTTTGAGTTAATTTTGTATATGGTGTGAAGTAAGGGTCAAACTTCATTCTTCTGCACGTGGATATCCAGTTTTCCCAGAACCCTTTGTTAAAACGCTGTTCTTTACCCGTTGAATTATCTTGGCACTCTTGTCAAAAATCAATATACCATACTACCATTACTGAACATTTTCATCAAAGATTCTATAGAAGAATCCCAATCAAAAGAGGGAAAATACAGAAAAGAATTTCAAATTATCATGGACTCCAGACTTTCTGGAGCCATGGAGGTTAGATGAACCCCTAAAACTATTGCCCTGAGATAATCTTTAAACCTTAAATCAAAATTATCCCCTGAAGTCTTCTTAAAACCAAGTAAGAGTTTGGCTTAATTAGTAAAGAATGTCTGCCTTGAGCATTGTGCTCTTTCAAGATGTCTGTATGGGATCAAATTGACAACAACAACTTGAAAGATTAGATAGGAACCTTAGGGGGGCAGTGAGTTTATGTTAATGGGGGAGGAACAACTCAGAAAAGGAGGGTGAGAGTGGCTGCAGTACTTGCAGAATAAAATCAATGTCACTGAATTGTACACGTAGAAACTGTTAAATTGGTGTATGTTTTGCTGTGTATATTCTCAACAATTAAATAAATAAAATTTAGAAAAATTGATTGACCATAGATTTATTTCAATGTGAAGTTTTATTTCTGTGCACTCTATTCTAGTCCATTGAGCTACGTATCTGTCCTTATGCTAATACAACACTATTTTGATTACTGTAGCATTGTTGTAAGCTTTGAAATTGGGATGTGTAAGTCCTCCAACTTTGTTGTTCTTTTTCAATATTGTTTTGGCTATTCAGGGTCCCTTAGCGTCCATATAGATTTTAGGATGTGTTTTCCATTTCTCCAAAAAACAGCACTGTGACTTGGTTATCATTTATTTTTCCTATTGTAATGGTCGAATCTGGGTGAAGTTAGAGTTGGCTGTGTTATCTGAAGCATTATCGCAGGGTGTGGGAGGAGTAAAAGATAATTCCAAGGTTTTTGACCTGAGTAACTAGAAGAATGGATTTGCACTGAGATGGGGAAGACTAGGAGGAACTGAAGAGAGGCTGGAACATGTTCCTCTTGAGATGCCTATTCATCTTCCAAGTGAAGATTTCAAGGTAGGCAGCTGGCTTTATCGATTTGGAGTTCAGGAGGATGACCCGGGATGAATTTATGTATATATGAATCATAAGCTTATAAATGGTATTTAAAGCCCTAAGACTGAATGACATCATCTAAGGAGTAGGAGTAGACATCAAAGAGGCTAAGACTGAAACCTGGAGCACTGCACCATGTAAAGGTGGAAAAAAGGGGCACCAGCAACAGATAGAGGAGCAGCCAGAGAAGTAGGCAGAACAGCATCCCATTGTGGTGTCTTAGAAACCCAGAAGTGTTTCCAAGAGGACACAGTGATGAGTTATGTCAAATGCTGACAGATCAAGTAATTCTGGACTGAAAGATGACCATTGAATTTAGCAGTGTGGAGGTCACTTGTGACCTTGGGAAGAGCAGTTTTAGTGGAGTGGGAGGGAAAAAACTGAATTGAAGTGGGTTCATGACAGAATGAGAGAAGTTTGAGTGGGTATGTACAACCCTTCTTGATGTCAATCAGTTCTTTCTGATGATGCTTTGCAGTATTTTGATGTTTTTAACGTTAAGTTTTCAAAATACTGAAACTCTTCCTTACATAAGACTTAAACGGGTTAGAAAATTTTTTCCAGGTTCAAGTGAACAAACTTGAGTTTTATAGGTGAAACACTCTTTATTTTTGGTAACAAAATAACATAATGCAAATATTTACAAACATCCCATTTTTAAATGTTAAAAAAAAACTTTCTCAATTCATTGTTGCACTGTCATCTTTAGCTTCAAGGGACAGATTTAATTTTTGACAGTGTTATGACTAGGCAGCATACCTCTGATAGCCACTTACAAGGAAAAAAATCAGCAAATTTGGAACAGCTGTCTTTTTGCAAATTAAAATGTGTATTATTTAAAAGATACGTATTAACTTCAGGATAGGTGTTCCTTCTAGGGAGGAAAAACAGAGAAATGGATGGTGCCTTTAATTGTATCTGTAATAGTTTACTTCTGAAAAATATGAAGTAATACAAAATGTTAAATCTGGGCAATGAGTAAATGGTTGGTATAATTCTATTAATTCTCTTTTTGACATGTTTAAAATAAATGTCATTTAACCAGATTAAATTGTACCATTGTAATATGTAACGATGGGCAGCTCTTGCTTGGCATCAGAGACGTCACCGACCTCACTAAATGTTCAGGACATGCTGTTGCAGTTTATAACAAATAATGTCTTTAAAGCAGATTGAATGGTAATTCGACTTGTGACATAACTGCTTTAAAGCTACAAACTGCAAGCGTGCAAAAATATTAAGTAAAAGAGTGAAACGATATCCACGTTTGGAGGCGGTATCTAGGGGTGGGAAAAGACGTGTGCCAGCAACTCGTCAAAAACTAGATCTCTAATTAAGCATGTCGGGATTTCGGCGGAACGCGACTGAGCCTCAAATTCAGCTCAACTGGATTCGGCGTCACCGGAAACGGCAGCTCCCACTTGGGGCGCTGCGGACACACGCGCCAAGGCTGCATTTCAGGAAGCAAACAAAAAAAAAAGGGAAAGAAAAAGGAGGAATAGTGCGGCACAGGGGCCTCGGACGCCGCATACGCACCGCGTCCCGCCTCTCCCCCGGCGCCGGGTTCCCGACCGCCGCCGAGCGGCCTACGACCGCGGCGGCCGCTCCCGACGGCCCAGCCCTCGGACCCTGCGGCCCGCCCGGCGTAGCCCGCAGGCGGGTGCCCTCAGGTGCGTACCCCGCCCCCGCCGCCATTAGGAGCGTGCGATTCTCTTGGCAGTATCGCCTCCCGAGGCCGGGGGAAATGGAGGCCGCTGCCCAGGTGCATGTCGGGAAGTGGCCCGCGCCTCCCTGGCGCCCCCTTCCCTCTGCCCCTACGGGCCCCGAACCCTTTTCCCCGCGGGCAGCACCTAAGGAGTGGGGGATGGGGAGGAAGTCTTGCTGCGCGGCAACGGTCGCACGCAAGGCACGCGCATCCCTATCCTTTCTGATTGGCTGGACGGAGAGACGGGGCGAAGGCTGCTGATTTTTGGCTGGCTGGGGCACGCTGCGCTTGAGATTGCGCTCTGCCTGTTGTACATGGGGCGCTCGCGCTGCGAGCGAACGTACTTGATTGGTTAGATTAAGGGGCGGGGCTTCCGTGTTGCCTGGTAACTGCGGCCCTGTTCGGTGGTGGAGGTGTCTGGCTCCACCCGTCCAGGTCGTCCGTTTCCGAGAGCCGCTCCCGTGGATTTTAGCTGGAGTTTAAGTCAGCGGGACAGCATGCATCTGCTTGTTTGTTGTCGGAAAACAAATATGGAGGTCAGGAGAAAAGGCCAGGCACGGGAAAACAGTCTGCCGGGATTTATCCTACACAGTTCTGGTTTAGGGGAAAAAAGGTTCACTGCTGTATTCTCTGCCCTTCAAGTTCAAGTTCCGTTGTTTGAAATAACAGCCTTATTGAGATGTATCATAAAATTTACTCTCTAAAAGTATACATTTTAGTGGTTTTTAGTATATTCACAGAGTTGGGCAACCATCACTATTGTCTAATTCCAGAACATTTTCCTCATCCTAAAAAGAAACCCATATCCATTAGCAGTTACCTTCCATTCTCCCTTCTCGAGCCCTACGTAACCACTAATTTACTTTGCACGGATTTGCGTACTCTGACATTTCATACTGCATTGAGTAGGAACACGTATTCTGTTAAATTAAGAGCAAAGTTTATATTAGAGGTTCAAACAGTTCACTCTGGGACACGTTCATTTTCACTAAAACCAAATGCTCCAAAATCCTGAAGGAAAACAGGTAACATTTATATGGTAATTTCAGAAACTGTTGTTAGGTGCCATCAAGTAGGCTGGACTCATAGCGACCCCATGTACAACAGAAGGAAACACTGCCCGATCGTGCGCCATCCTCACAATCGTTGTTATGCTGAACCTATTGCAGCCACTATGTCAGTCCATCTCCTTGAGTGTCTTCCTCTTTTTTGCTGACCCTTTAACAAGCATGATGTCCTTCTCTAGGGACTGGTCCCTCCTGATAACATGTCAAAAATATGTGAGACGTAGTCTCGCCATTCTTGCTTCTAAGGAGCATTCTGGTTGTACTTCTTCCAAAATAGATGGTTCGTTCTTATATTCAGATATGGGCCACACCCCCAAGGAGACTCGCTTTCATCTGATTGGCTACTCACAGTATATTCAATCACAAGAGTGATTACATTAAAACACTGAGAATCATGGCCCAGCCAAGTTGACACACAATCTTAACCATCACAAGAGTCTTGAAGGATTGCTGGGAAAACTAGATGAGATTTGAGAATTTTTGTTTGTTTATATCTCCAGTTTTAAAAGAGCAAATGGTTAATTAAGCACTATATAAAGTCTTCAATCTAAATGAACTTTGCTGATGTCTTCAATTTTGGTAGAAAAGGAGGTAATCACCATATAGACTTTGGAGGATTTTACCCTGTGGTACATGTTCTCATTGTCCAGGATTTTTATCCTTATGGAATGCAGTGAAATTTTCTCAGGGAAATGTTCTTAGGGTGGGAAGCACTGTGGTAGCTTACAATCATATTTCATTATTTTTTATGTTCTATTAATGTGTGGTGTGTTTCAAACCATAAAATATGAAAGACAAGTTCCCGCCTCTGTTTGTTGTTACTTAAAGGATGCATACAAAGTACAGTAATTATGACATACTAATTTTTTAAGAAATTATGACTGGGAGCAAGGTTGATACCAAATGATATAGCTATCTTTTTTGAGTTCCATTTAGTTCCTTTCTGCCTGTTATTTTATTCATTGTTGAAAACTGGAGTTCTTGACATCACATTTCTCTTCTTAATGTTTGTTGTTGTTAGTTGCTGTTGAGTTGTCTCTGACTCATAGTGACCTCAGGTACAACAGAACAAAACGTTGCCTGGTCCTGCACCATCTTCCAGTCGTTAGTATGCTGGAGTCCATTGTTGCAACCACTGTGTGTTTTGAGTGCCTTCCAACCTAGGGGACTCCTCTTCTAGCACTGTATCGGACAATATTGTTTTGTGATCCATAAGGTTCTCAATGGCTAGTTTTCAGAAGTGGATTACCAGGTCTTTCTTCCTAGTCTGTCTTACTCTGGATGCTCCACTGAAACCTGTCCATCATGGGTGACCCTCCAAAAACCAAACCCATTGCCATCGAGTCAATTCTGACTTATAGCGACCCTGTAGGACAGAGTAGAACTGCCCCCATAGGGTTTCCAAGGCTGTAATCTTTACAGGAGCAGACTGCCCCATTTTTCTCCTGCAGAGTGGCTGGTGGGTTCACACTCAGCCGAGCACTTAAGCATTGCACCACCAGGGCTCCTTATGGGTGACCCTACTAGTATTTAAATACCAGTGGGATAGCTTCCAGCACCATAGCAATATGAAAGCCACCACAGTATGACAAACTGACAGGTGGTCTTAATGATTTGCTGTTGTTGTGTGCAGTTGAGTTGATTCTGACTCATGGTGCTCCTACAGGACAGAGTAGAACTACCCCATAGGGCTTCCTAGGCTGTAATCTTTATGAGAGCAGATTAACAGGTCTTTTCTCCCCCAAAATGGCTTGCGGATTTGAACCAAGGATTCAAACCAGTTCAAACCTGTTCAGTCATGACCAATGAAGTGAAACCAGAATTTTTACAGTTTGGGTGATCTGGAATGATAACTGGAATAGGAAAAATTATGGGTCAAAGCCCTGGAATGGGAAGCTTGGAAGAGGCATAGTGAGCCCTTTTGGGAAACTGTGCATGAGACTGGATTATCAGCAGGACTGTGGAGAGTGACACAAATTCAAAGCAGTGTGGTCAGCTACCATCTTACTGCTGTTTCTGGCTCTGCTCAAAATCTGATAGGCAAGAGATATGGTTGCTATGCAATGCATACACTGCCCTTGTTTTCTAATAGGGACATTAAGTTTCTAGCGGGGCTTCAACCCGTAATTTTTCCCATTCTGGCTATCTTTCTGGATAACCCAAATTTTAAAAATTAGGGTCTGTTCCAGTGTCATTTCCTCGGCCATGACTGAACCAGGAAGAACTAGTTCGAAGCCCTGGTTTGAACTACCAACCTTTCAGTCAGGAGCCGAACACGTAACCATTGCACCACGAGGTGCAATGATTGTGATGGTATAATTAACAGAAAATTCTACCTTACAGCTGGCTCTAGAAGATGTCAATGAAGCAATTTACTTTCATGTTTTAGAAGAAACCTTTGTTGAAACTTCCTCTAGGAAAAGAATCATAAAATAATAGATTCAGTAGAGTCATTCCATATACGCATTTAATTTAGAAGAGTTTAACGACAGCTGCTCTGCAAAACAAAAAGAAGAAAAATAGCTGTTTACATATTGTAGGCACTTCATGCCATTCCAGTTTGGAAGCATGTCTCTTAGGAGCAAGCAATAGATGGGAGCCTGGAATATGATAAGAGCCTGGAACATGTCGTTCCATTAGATTCTCAGTTCCTGGGGACCTCTCACAGCACTGTGTGATTCTGGTGTTTAAAATGAGTATTTTTCATACATCAGGCCCCTAAACTACTCCACTGGATGATTAACGGAAGAAACAATGATCTATGTCAACACTGCAGGGAAAACTGACTATGTTGGGCTTATTGAGAGGTGGCATGTCCTTCCTGTTAAAAAATAATCAAAACTCAAAGAAAGTGAAACATCAGACTTTTCTGATTATTGCTTTGACTCTGCTGTCCATTTGGGTCTCCTGGAATTTGTGTCAGTTCTGAGCCAGTATCCAGTTATCCCCCAAAAGTCTGGGTATTTCCTTTTCCCCAATGAGCAGTCACTCTCGTAAAAGGCCGTAAATCCCTTTGGGGAAGGCCGGGAGAGAGATTAACAGTATAAATTTTTGGCAGTGTATTGGAGTCCTTCCTCAAGGGGACCCAGCCTTTCCTTCATTCAAGGGGTTATGGGTCTTTAAACTTGCTCAAGTCTGGGAATTGATTAAGGGACCGTGACACTCTGTTCTGGTGATTTAAGTTAGACTGCTGTTCACCTAACCTAGAATTCATCCGTTTGTACAGATCAAGTAGATATTTAGTAGATTTCCTATCTATTTCACTCCTAGGTTGACATGGATTGAATTACGTGCCCCCCAAAATATGTGTATCAGTTTGGCTGGGCCATGATTCCCAGTATTGTGTGATTTTCCTATATGTGGTAAATCTTGCCTGTATGATGTTAATGAGGGAGGATGGATGGCAGTTGTGTTAGTAAGGCAGGGCTCAATCTACAAGATTGGATTGTGTCCTGAGGTAATCTCTTGATATATAAAAGACAGAAGTGAGCAGAGAGACAGGGGGACCTTATACCACCAAGAAAGCAGTGCCAGGAGCAGATCGTGTCCTTTGCACCTGGGATCCGTGTGTGGAGACGCTCCTAGTCCGGGGGGAACATTGATAAGGCCTACAGAGAAAGCCTTTCCCTGGAGCCCTGAATTTGGACTTTTAGCCTACTTACTGTGAAGAAATAAATTTCTCTTTGTTAAAGCCATCCACTTGTGGTATTTCTGGTATAGCAGCACTAAATGACTAAGACATAGGTATACCATGCCTAAGTAGCCAATACCATAAGTCCATACAGGTTAGACTATTCTGATTACTGCTTTGACTCCACTATCCATTACTGTAACCAAGCCCACCTTGTCTTTGTCGATTGAGTGCCGCCACTTGTCCCCTACTACCATGGGGTTCAAT